CGGAGATCCGGCGCCGGCAGGTCTGCCTTCGCGGCCTGCCTGACTCGCCCACCGAGACCCCCAGCTCGCTGACGCAGGCGGTGGACCTCGTCGTGGCGGGCCTGGTCGGACGGAGGGGGCACGTGGCGGATGCTTGGCGGGTGGGCCGCTTCGCGGCGGATCGGCCGCGGCCGGTCATTTTGAGGTTCCATCATTTGGGGGATAAGGTGGAATTGCTTAAATTGAAAGGCCGATTGTACGCAGCCGATTGCCCAAGGGAATTACAGGGCCTGCGCCTGTACCACGACCTCTCGGCTGCCCAGCTTGAGTGGAAGCAGCAGCTGAGAGGGGCGTATGACAGGTTTGTGGGGGATAATTGTTGTGGAAACACATGGGGGTCGAGAGATTTATGGCCATTAGTCTTGGTTGGTTAGTCATCTGTGGGATTGGACCCATTATTTGGATTCCTTATGATCTCTAGATACTCGTAGGCTCTTTACTTGTCTAAATCCCCCAGTTGTGGAGTAGTTGGTGGTCTCGGGAAGTCCCTGTACCTAAGGGACAGCCCGTGGGGGTAGACTGGGCTGCGGTGTATCGATAGTGGGTCCGATACGGGGGTATGCCGGGCGATACAGTCGTGACGCACTGATGTACATTGCGTGGTGTCTGTGTGATGGGTGGCCAGGCCGGAATGTGGCCGACCACCAGTACGTACGCGGGGGTGCGTTGCTCCCCGCTCTGTTACCCGTTTGGCTCACTGCCGCGCTCCGCACGGGCCTCGCGGCCCGGGGAGCCAGCTGCCTTGCTACCCGCCGTCTTCGAACGGCAGAGCCGCCCAATCCCAGAGCGCAAGAGGGCCCACCGCGCAACGAACGAACGAGCACCCCGGTTAAGCCCGCCGGATTCGGCGGAGGGGGCCATCGGCCCGATTGGGTGCAGGCGGATGAAGTGGGACGCGCACCGGAGAAAAGGGACCAGCGGAGGCTATTAAAAGGGCCCCGCAACAAGTGGTTTCGGAGCGCGGAGCCGCGAGGAAGACCGCCGGCGATTGACGCCGGGAATGGTGGCATCGGGTGAAGCCACGACCGAGGGGCGTAGCGACGAGAAACGGCGCCAAAATCGGGCGCGGATCGAGCTGCATGGAAGCGGCGAACGAAGCGAAAGAGGACCCGATGCCATTGAAACGCCAGCAAGTTGAAGGTATGAAGATTGAGTTTTGAAAGCGCCGGAGGATCGCCGTTGGAGAAGGAAGCGGCGTTGAGCAATGCGGAAGGAAATGCGGCGCTGAATCGGCGCTGAAGCGGCGCTGCATAGGCCGCAAGGTTGGGTATGCGGCGCCAAGGCTGCGGCGCTCGATGGCGCCCTTGGCAAGCCATGAAAGCGGATGGAATTGGAGGCACTGCATGCCGCGGACGCGGGAGCGCCGGAGGAGGCGCATTGTCGGGTGCAAAGGTGGAGTGCAGCGCCGGAATGCAACGGCATTCCCGCGGCCAAATGGCAAGGGATGTGGTGCCAAGGATATGGCGCGCGATGGCGGCCTTGGTAGGCCATGATAGTGTGGAGAATCGGAGGGCCTGGCTTGCCAAGATGCGGAAGCGCCGGAGGGGGCGCATTGGCGGGCGCAAAGGCGGAGTGCAGCGCCAGGATTCCATGGCATTCCCAAGGCCATGTGGCTGGGGATGCGGCGCCGAGGAAGCAGCGCGCGATGGAGGAGTTGGCTGGCAGTGGATGCGCGGGGAATCGGAGGCCCCGGCTGGCCAAGGACGCGGGAACGCCGGCGGAGGCGTTTTGGATGGATGCATCGGCGGTGGATGGAGCCGGAATGCAGCGGCATTCCCGCGGCCGCATGGTGGAGAATGGAGGCGCGAAGACGCAGCAC